AAGTATCATGATTCTATCTCTGCATATTGGCCATGTCCTGCATGCCAAAGGGTCCTCACGAGAAGCAAGGGTGTTAAGAACCACCTCGACACTGAGCCCGGCAAATGTCGTTTTGCCGAGCCGTTCAATTTCCCAGATGATCATGATCCCGAGGGCAACAATGTGCCAGCTTGGTGGAAACCCTTACCTAAACCTGGGGAGGGCCAAGCTTCCGCATCGGGTGGCCGTCGAGGCGCTCGCGCCAGGCCACCACGACCACGGTCCTTTGGGAACGCTGATCCTACATCTGGCGCCAGCAGTTACGACATCCTGCGAGACGCGCCCGAGCGTGGAAACACGCCTTCCGCGTCTTCTAGCGAGCCGCCACAGGTAGCGGCCCGCCGCGGCCGCCTACAAGGCGTACCACCACCGCCAGATGCAGTTGACGAGGGAGACCGACTGCGGAGAGCTACAAGGAACCCTCTTGCCTCAACCGGCCCGGGGGCTCCACGATTGCCCGACTGGACGAGATTTGACATCCAACACAGTCTGCAACATCTCCGTAGTCACGAACCTCATGTAGTTAAAAAGGAACTCCGTAAACTGCACTTACGGTGGTATCATGCGAAGGAACCCAAGATGAGGCTAATCCTAGACAGAGTGGGACTGGACAACGTTCGACTAAATGTGATCAAAGAAATCTGTGACACCTGTCGGGGATGTAGAGCATGGGAACGTCCAGCACATTCAACGCTACCTTCTGTAAGCCTTCCTGGAAACTGGCTCGATGAAGGTGAAATGGATCTCATGTTCTGCAAGAAACGAACCATATTTCATATTTTGGACCGTTGCATTCGCCTGGCAGCAGGCCAAGAGATTTCCGATAGAGAGCGTGACACTATACTCGACGCCTCCCACTATTGCTGGATTGCCTATCATGGACCCTTCAAAGTCTTGTACTCAGATGGAGAAGGCGCCCTGAACAATGACACTGCCAAGGCCATGATGGCGAACAAGGGTGCAACACTCCGTATCCGAGCGCCTGGCCAACACGCGACCTCGATCGAGTCACGTAACGGTATTCTCAGGGGTACTCTCCACATGATTGAGGAAGAGCTGAACAGACACAACATCCTTGTTGTATTTGCTAGAGTATTGGCGGAAGGCATCTTCGTCACCAACGCCTTCGCGTTTTACAGCGGAGTATCGCCATACCAATCACACACTGGGCGACAGTCCTCCTTTCTTCCTGACCTCGACACCCCTGACTTCCCTAAGGGGCCCGAGACGTCAGGTCACGAACGAGAACGCCGTGTGTGGGAAGTTAGCCTGGAAGCAATAACTCAAGCCACGGCGGTTGCTAAGACAAATCGTGCTCTCAGGGTTTAAAAGGCCCCAGATGGTGCTCGCCTTTACCCAGCAGGGGACATGGTCGACTATCACCGACCTACTGCCACTAAGGACGATCATGGAGGCTGGAATGGCCCATTTCCTGTGATCCGTAACGTGCCTGAACGAGGGCACCTCGTCGTCAAGGCAGGATCTCGTGAGGTAATTGTAATGTATCCTGATGCTCGTCACACGCTATACATTGGATGCCTCCTTGCCCGGGAACTTGGCATGGACAACATGGCCATGCAAACCGTCCTTACATATGTGGCACACCTGGGTGCAGGGAAACCTGCCAAAGTCTTCGGCTACATTCCAGACTATAAGGGAAACCTCAATCTTTCGGACGACAGCAAGTTTCACCCGCGCGTACATCTTGCACTACAGTATCTCGTGCGAAATTATTTCCGAGTTGAACATGTAGTAGCAGTTAGATTGGCCAAGAGTGTGTCCTATCTACCTGCAGTAAAGTACGCCACCGGGTCTACGCTGATCCACTACGATGACGACGTCAACCCAGCCTTGCACTATTATGAGTGCGTGGGCACTGGCCCGAACATTTTTCAAATGACTGGTAGCACTCACTCCAGAATCATCCAATGCTTGACGTCACATGTTCCTCCCTTAGGATTTCATGACGACCTTGCCAAGTATCAGCACCCGGGCACCACGTCTGGAGAACACGACCAGCCTGGAGACAGGCCTCCACCAGACACCCCAGGTGCTTCATCACCAAGTGAAGGCCGTCTGTCTACAATCTACGAAGAAAACGAGGAACATGACATAGAAACTATGATGATGGAGGAGTGGTACGATGAGGTACGTATGGACCTGCATCCCACAACGGTTACCGACGATCATCTCTACTGCGTCCCAACAACTATGCTGCCCGCCCAAAGTGTTCTGGTCTCAGCATCCGTGGACGAAGAAGATATCGTAGTGTCGGAAATGCTCGGAGACGAGCCTGAACCACAAGAGCCTTGTCTTGTCTCTCTATGCTCAACTACACCCGACGAGAGTTATTCTCTTGACAGTGATGAACATGGTCTTTATGTTGAGTTATGTTTTACACAAGAAATGTCAAAGGTAGTGTTGGATCAGACTCAACTTGCACAGCTCGACACTGACATGGTCGCAACGATGAGAGTGTACGTATCATCGGCTGCTAAACGTGCTGTGGTAGTTAAGGAAGACGACCTACTCACCAAAGCCGACATAGCAGCACACCCTAAAGAGGTTAGTGAAGCTTTGTACACCGAACTCAAGATCTGGCTTGATAGCCGGTGCTTTGAAATGTACGACCTATCTAAAGCTTCCAACATCATGACATCCAGATATGTATATCAGTGGAAGTTTGTGAAGGTAGGCACCGAGAACGTTAAAACCATCCGTCTCAGACTCGTCCTTCGTGGATTTATGGACACGGGGGCGTTCGATGTGGAAACCTTCTCAGGCACTTCTCGAAGGCAGTCCCAGAGGCTCCTGGCAAGGGAGGCGGCATGCCATCCAGAATGGATCATAGCATCCATGGAAATCGATAAAGCGCTCCTCAAGGGTTTGACCTATGAGGAACTTGCTCATGCCACCGGCGAGGAAACTCGCGTAGTTTGCTTTACTCTTCCACCAGGAAGCGCCCAGGTACTTCGTACATTGCCCGGCTTCTCTTCTTGCGATGAAAGGCGACACTGCCTCAGGTGCCTCAAGACAGGGACGGGTGCAAAGGGCGCCCCAAGAGCGTTCTCCCTCAAGCTTCGTACGACCACACGAGCTATAGGCCTTACACCGACAAGTTATGATCCTGAATTTGAATTCAGTCAAGATCTGTTAACAGCAAACATGTCGACGACATCAACATGACAGGCCTAGAGAAAAGTGTAGATGACTATGTACAACGTGTCGAAAAGGTGTTTGGTGAATGCAAGCTCAACAAACATTCCTATACGAACTGCGCCGTTCGCTACACCAAGAATGACCAAGGGGATGTGATCATGGATCAGGACGAGTACAGTAAACAACTACGTCCTATCACACACCCCGAACTCACGGGAGCGGCGGCTGAGGCCAAAACCACCAAACTCATCACCGACATGTTCGTCAGCCTGCGAGGAGCCCTCGCCTATGCCCTTCTTACTCAAGTCTGGCTCATGGTGCATGTGGTCTCTCTCCAGAAAATTCAAGAGCCCACCAACCTACAAGTCAGACGACTGAATGCTGTGACGCGAAAGCTGATCAGCAGCCCGGAACGCATCACCTTCCTTCGGATGAAACCGACGAACGAAGTTGATGCACACAGTGATTCGGGGTATCGGAAGCTCACTGGGGAGGAAGACGATGAGACCAAGGGCTACGGCATACGCGGGGCTAACGTACTACGGCGAGGAAACTCGCCTCAAGGCAAATCCGTCATTCACCTTGGCGACGGACTATGTAAATCACATCGAATGCAGGTGAGGTCCAGCTTTGCCGCTGAGGCACTTGCAGCTGCACACAACCTTGATGAGTGCTACCCTACGCTCATCACCCTCCACGAGCTCAAGGCAGGGGCCCGGACTCCACGACAACTACGAGACATGCGTGAAGTTGGAGGCCTAGCTATTAAAGTATCCCTTACCATAGACGCTGAGTATGTATACAAACCGTTATCCAGCAAAGATCTTAAGATACCGACGGAACGGACGTTGCTGGGACATATCAGCTGGATACGTGAACTCATGGATATAGGTATAGTGCATAATGTGCAGTGGCGTGGTACTAGAGATGACCGCAGATGGGCATACAAAGGGGAGTATCGATCGGGAGCTGCTTTTGGAAGTGATGTCAGGCACTCAGTCATATAAGTATGACGTGAAGCAGTTTGTTCCCTTTCGGGGTCCCGAGGACAGAAACAAGCCTAAGTCTAATCAGTTTTAGTCTGTCCTTGTTGCCCCCGCGGTCCAGTTTGCCAGCATGGGCGCCTAATACAGAGGCGCCCTTCTAGGTGCTCGGAAACGAGCCTTACATTTCACGCTCAGATTGATTCAGGCTCTTTGCCTTAATACCCGCTTGTTCGGAGAGGTATAGCCTGTTTGGCTTACCTCTAGCCGGGCCGATAGCCATTTGATGTCCAAGGGGCTATCTCGTATCTGCGTGAAATGCTTTGCGAGGACACTCGCCTTACAGTCTGGTGTTAGGCCACGCTGTGCGCACTGTTTTTCTTGCAAACAGTCGTGCGCGCGGCCTTTGTAGAGCCTAACGGCTGCGCGGCTATACTCACCGTCTCCTCCCCTCCCGACTTTAAGGGCAGCTCTTTTGGAGATGTTATATAGGATCGGGAGTATAGCTCGCGCGCCGTTGCCTTTGGCTCAAGGCACGCGCGCCCTATTTGCCCGGACACTGCTTGTGTTCGCTATGTGCTGGAAAGATCATTACATCGATCTTATCCTATCTTATCCGTCCATTTCTCTTACTGAACCACCTCAGTACGATACCGGACGCTATTTGCCATCCGCTTCCCATGGAATCGGATGCTATTTGACTTGCCATAGTCACTTCAGACTCTCTTATCTGAACGAAGTGATATGGACGAGACCATCGCAGCGTTGCCATAAGATGGAATGGTGTCTTCGGTGATCATGTGTTTAGTTCCCCTGCAGGTGGGCTCACCTAGCGGTCAAAGAGTGGCAGCACGGCGCCATGATCGGCAAACACCCGAGTATTGTAGAGTATGACGAGGTGATGATTCACAACGACGACGACAGCATGATGAGGAACATGATACAGGCCGGGTACGAGCAGGGGTCGCTAAAGTCGAAAGCCAGATCGAAGCGCACGCAGTTCCCAGATCGATACATCTGCCTCATGCAGGAGTTCATGAATCGCGGCACTATCCAGGATTGGATTGATGACGATCAGCTGCGTCCCGGAGGCATGTTCGTGGTGATGCGGAAGGTTCAGGAGGGAACAAAAGCACACACAGACATGATGAATCGCCGATCCCCAGGAACATTTTGAACACATATGGGAAGTGGGGGGGAAGACGGACACAACTATGGGAAAATATGGGGAATCCTGGCAGTCGTGTCTGTTCATCTGTGTGTCCCTGGGCCCCTTCGAAGGTGGCATCGGCCCTGGCCTTCCTCCACGACATGGGGGTCACGCACAACGACATCAAGCCAGAGAACGTCATGGTGCACGTGGGGCGGGAGATGGTGGACGGCGACGCGGTGGTCGTCAAGCTCGGCGACCTGGGCCTCACCACGAGGTCCAGCGACCAGTCCGCCGACTTCTGGCAGTACGGCATGACCGTGTTCTGCATGACCACCGGGGAGAGGCCGGGGGGGGCGGGAGAGCACCGATGCCCAGCCGCCGCAGGGGCCCCCAAGGGCCCCATCGGCGTGTTACCGTCGATGCGCATGGTTGTTTTCGGGCGAAGAGGAGGAGGGGGAGGGGGAGGAGGAGGGGGAGGAGGAGGAGGAGGAGGGAGGAGGAGGAGGAGGAGGAGGAGGAGGAGGAGGAGGAGGAGGAGGAGGAGGAGGAGGAGGAGGAGGAGTAACACGCCGATGGGGGGGCCCGATGGGGCCCTGGGGGCCCCCGCGGTGGCGTGACGTTGATCTTCCTTCTGCCCCCCAGAGAGGTTTGGGAGCCGGAAGTACAGACCCGCGGCGGCGCAGGCCTTCGTCGCCGAGTGCCGCACGGCCTGCGAGGCCGCCGTGCCGCAGGGCAGGCTGCGCGTGACGCTGGACGAGGTGCCCGAGATCCTCCGCGTCGTGTTTGCCCACGGGGCTTCCATGGCGCAGATTTCCGAGCGTGCGTGCCTGCAGGGCTGGAAGTTCTTCGACGACGGGGACCGGTGCGTGTCACGCGACGAGAGAGCCAGCAAGCCGCTGGCGCGGCCCACCCAGCCGCAGAGCCGCAAGGCTCCAGGCCGTCCAAAGTGGGCCAGGGCAGGTTGGCTCGGAGCATCGGACCGCATCGCCGATGCGTCGGCAGCACGCCGCGATCTGGAGCCCGAGTTTCGGAGCCCCTGGTCGCCGATCCGCGGCGATGCGGCGCGATCCTCGCACCCCATCTGCTCGGCCCCACGTGGGCGGCATCCAAAGGTGAACGCGAAATTCGAAGGAAGGTCCGTTCACCGTGTGGTCAGCCAGATGAGTCCGAACGAGGAGTTGATCGCGACGCCCCCTCCCGGCGGCTAGTGAGGCCTCGCCAGCGCTCTCCAGCCGTTGCGTCTGGGCGCTGTCGAGGACGACGGGAGCGGAGTGATCTCCAGACCTCCAGCGTCGTGACTCTCTCAATCTCGCTGTTTCTCTTCGATCTCGGGCTATGGGGGCCAGTTGCACATGCCGCAAGGGCCATACAGTCAACCCGCATGATAAGGATGAATGCTTTTTCCGAGGTTGCCGTTGCATCCTTGCCCCTTCGTCCCATCCCTGGCCACTTTCGCCGGCCAGCCCCTTAGGGCGCCCTTGCGTCCTTGGGTTGCGCGGCGCGACCCCCCTGGGGGCCAAGCCTGGGGGCGCGTTACAGGGTGCCCTTGCATCCTTCGGTTTTCGGCCGCGCCCCGCTCGAAACTTGCCAGCATGGCTTTCCAAGGCCCTTGCATCCTTATCGCGCATCCTTAAGATACGGGCCAACTGTACCAGAAGCGGCTCAGGCTGCAGAAAGCGGCCTTTTTTGGCGAGCCTTGAATGTGGTCGTTTTCTTTTTCGTTGTTTTGCCGATCGACGCGGGCCCTCGCACCCCCCGCTCCCCTCCCCCGCCCTATGGAGTAGATCTTGGCTGTTGTGGGCACCTGTTTCGAGCAGGTGGAGCCTCTCCCCCTAGGAAACACTGTTGCAAACAGTCGCATCAAGCAGAGGTCCGGAGCCAGACCCCCCCCTCCCCCCCTCCCCCTTCCGCCCAATGTCGAAACGCCGAATAAGAAAACGCTCACAATATGTCTTTCCAGAGATCAGACGCTCCAAAAAATTGGAGCGGCGGGATTTCAACAGTTTTCGGCCTCTGGAGGCCCTCGCCGGGCCTCGGGAGCGTGAAAAAATGACTCGGGACGAAAAACCGGCCCCAGGGAAGCGGTCCAGTCCCCCGAGGCCCCGGCAGAGAAAGAATCGGAGCGGCCGGGTGTCTGGGAAGGCCTCCCAGATGGAGTCCGAGCAGATGTGGTCGGAGGATCGCGCCGCATCGACGATGCGGCTCGATGCGAAGCCTGATCTTCTTCACGCCGATGTCGCCGATGCATCGCCGACGTCGCCGATGCATGGCCAGTGCATCCCCGACGCATCGCCGATGTATCGCCGATGTGGCGCGATCCTCCGACCCCATGTACTCCGACCCCATCTAGGAGGCCTCTAATGTGGACAACGTACAGTAGGCGCGTCTAGTAAGGACGCGCGCCTTCATCCAGGGTGCCCTTGTGTCCTTGCCTCTGCGGCCCGTCTTTTGCTGTTTTTACTGGTCGCCCGCCGCCCAACAAATCCCAGCTTAGGCCTCCAAGGGTCTTGCGTCCGAACTCCCGTCCTTAATACACGTTCTGATTGTATTCCCAACCAGAGAGAGAATACGTCGGAGGTCTGGGTCTAAGCGCCTGTATGGTCAGTTCCACTAGTTCCAGGCATAGGCCAGATCCGCCGACGCTGCCACAGTTCAGCGTTGAGACGGTGGATCAGGACGAGGAGGAGGAGGAGGAGGAGGAGCAGGAGCAGGAGGAGGGAAGAGGAGGAAGGGGGGGAGAGAGGGCTCAGGAATCCCCGATTCAGGATTATTCTTGGTAGCGTTTCCTCACCCTTCGGCCTTCGGGAGGCATCCGATGAAGCGGAGGAGGAGCAGGAGAGGGAGGAGGAAAAAGGGAGCTAGGGCCATTCTGGCCCATGCGGGTTGGGGGGCGTTCCCCACCACCCGCGGAAGGGGGGGCCGGCCCGAGCGCGCCGCCGCCATTGGCGGCGCGCGTGCAGCGTGTACAACAACAGCAAGAACCACCAGCAGGTGAACAACTGGGAGAATAATGATCAATCGGGAAAGGGAAATCATGCACTAGCTGACGACTTGCAAACGGGACATCTACAACATCGGATCGGCGGCGAGACGTACCCGCCTCAGTGGAGACTGCCGGCAAGTATGCCTGGACCAGACACGCCTCGAGGAATACGAACAGTTGCTTCTCTCAAGGGAGCGGGCTATTTCATCCGACGCGGGCTACAAACACACCTCAACGGCATCATGACTATCGCTACGACCGCCTTCATGATGGCGTCCAGTACAGGCCGGGACGAGCTGCTTAACGTGCAGCCCGAGGAAGAGCTGCTTAACGGGCAGCCTCCAAAACGACACCAACTACGTGATCAAGACCGACACCAAGGAAAGACGCGATCGAGCAGACCGAAAGGGTTACCAAGTACGTCGTCGCTGGGGTACTGGTGGACAACGGCCGCGCCTACGCCGAGTACGACTACGGTCGCGCCGCATACTGCCAGTACGACTACGGCTGGTTTTTTCGTAGCGACCTGTACTCCCACGACCCCCGCGACTACACCGGCCGCCAGGATGTGGAACACTTGGACCTGGCAGCCGACGACTCCGATTCGGACTTCGGGGACTCCGAAGAGAGTTTGCCTTATGAAGTGCTACAGCCACCAGCATAATTACCAGGGCCACCAGACGACCTCGAGACAAAAGGAAACGTGCCAGGGTCACCTTGTGAGCTGCAAGAACCACCAGAAGAGATACAAAGGCTACCGTCTGAGCTACGAGGGCCGCAGGCTGAATTACGAAGGCCACACCCCGAGCTATGAGGACCAGAGCATGAGTTACGGGAGCCACGCAGAGCTACCCACGCTACCTGTTGAGCTACCAGAGGTCCCAACAGTTCTACGGAAGGCGCCAGCTCAAGTACGAGGTTTTCCAGCTGAACCACGAGAGACACCAGGAGAGGTACCAGGGCCACCTGCTAAGCAACGCGGGCAACCAGCCTAGCTGCGAGGGCCGAAGGCTGAACTACGAGGGTCACAAGTAGGACTACGAGGACCACAACCAGAGCTACGGGAGCCACCAGGAAGGCTTCCTGAACCATTTGCTGAACTACCAGAGCTCCCAACAGACCTACGAGGGCCACTCGCTGAACTACGAGGACCACAAGCACAGCTACGAAGGCCACAAACACGACTACGATGACCTCCAGCTGAGCCACAAGAGACACCAGGAGAGGTACCAGGACCACCTTCTGAGCTACGAGAGCCACCAGCGTAGCCACAATAGCGAGTCGCTCAACTACGAGGGCCAAAGGCTGAACTACGAGGGCCATGGAACGAGCTACGTGACCACAGGTTGAGCCGCGGGAGCCACTTGCAGAGCAACCCAGGCTACCTGCTAAGCTACCAGAGCTTCCGACGCTCAGCTACGAGGGCCTCCAGCTGAGCCGCGAGAGGCGCCATGAGAGGTGCCAGGGCCACCGGCTGAGCTACCAGAACCACCAGCAAAGGTACGATGGCCACCCGTTGAACTACGAGGATTCCAGGCTGAGTTACGAAGACCGCAAGCAGGGAAACAAGGACCACATCCTGAGACACAAGAGCCACCCGCAGAGCTACAAGGGCAACCGCCGGCTGAGCTTCCAGGGCCGCAGGCTGTGCCACGAGGACCAAGCGCAAGGCCACGAGGACCACAGCCTGCCCTACGGGAACCACTGGCAGAGCTACCTGGGCCACCTGCTGAGCTACCAGAGCTTCAACAGACCTGCGAGGGCCACCTGCTCAACTACGAGGGCCAGAAGCACAGCTTCGAGGGCTGCGACGACCACCGGCAGGCGCAGGGCTTGGGCCAGAGCTACGAGGCTTATTCGCTGAGCTACGTTGGCAACCTGCTGGGCCACCTGAGCTGCGAGCTGAGCTACGAGGACCAGAAGAGCAACGACTAGAGTTTCTTAAAGAACTACCAGAACGAAAAGCTGTAGTAAAAGGAGATGGGTTAGAGCTTCGTGAGCCACCAGCTCAGCTTCGTGGGCCACCCGCGCAGCTACGAGGGCCACAACCTGGACTACGCGGTCCGCAAGCAGAAATACGAGAGCCCCCTGTTGAGCTGTTTGGGCAAAGAGCTCAGCTGAACGGCCAATCAGATGAGCTACGAGCGTGGCTACGAGGGCCCCAAGCGGAGGTACGAGACTTAATAGAAGTCCTACCAGAACCACCTGGTTTTCTAGTAGACGCGGCAGCAGAGCTACCACGGCCACCAGCTGAGCTGCGACCCCCATAGGAGCCAACTGCAGGGCCACGGGGACAACCAGCAGAGCTACCAAGGCAAGTCTCTGCACCAAGAGGTCCACGTGGCGAACACTAAGGCCCATGGAATACCTGGACTACCAGAGAGCCGATCGCAATCGGCGACGTTGTACACGGCGTGATTGGCAAGACCGACCACTATTGCGTGGAGAAGGTGGACGAGACGTCCGCCACCGTCCGCTGGCTGGACGGCATTGCGTGCCAGCTCCAGCGCGCGGCAGTGCGTCGGCCGCAATCGCTACGGCGAGACCGGTCTGCGCGAAGCAGGAGCGTAGCTTACGACCTCGTTACGCACAACATACTACGTCTGTTTCAATTCTCTCCCCCCCCCCGCCCGGAAAGGGTGGGCCCCCCTGCGGCCGCCGGCGTGCGGGCGCCGGCGAGCGGCAGCGCGGAGGCCGTTGGGATTGCCCGAAGGCGCTGCTAAGAGGGAGAGAAGGGGAACGAGGAAGAGGACTATGAAGCGGAGCGGAAAGGGAAGGAGAAGGACAAGGAGGAGGCGTAAGACGTGCGACCACCTGTTTGTAGGCCTCGACATCGGAAGAGTCTGCTCAATGACGATGCCGATGCGAGTTCGCGTCGTGCTATTCTGCCAGCTTGCGCCCAAGACAAAAATTGACCAGAGGGGAAGCTAGCCAATGCTGCGAATTATGTCTGCAATGTTGGAGCACATCTTCCTCATCGTCGGCTCCACCTAAGTCCTTGGCGTTGTCAGGGATGGACTGCATATCTATGTGTTGTGCATTGGAGCGACGCTGTCGATTACATGGTAAGTCAGAGCTTGGCAGGGGAGGGCATGTGCTGCTGCGAAGTCGTCGCAACTTTTACTCTGCGCTCGGCCTCATCAGATCCAGCAGGCTGGGGAGCGTCGGCAACCACAGGGTGGTCTTACATGGACAGTCGTGAGGATTGCAGGGCATGGGCGCAGG